GATTGGAACAGGCTGCCCAGGGAAGTGGTTGAGTCCCCATCCCTGGAAATATTTACAAGACGGGTAGATGAGGCGCTTAGGGACATGGTTTAGTGGGCATGGGGGTGTTGGGTCGACGGTTGGACTCGATGATCTTAGAGGTCTTTTCCAACCTTAATGATTCTATGATTCTACCTCATTGATCCAGACCTTGACCCTGATCCATGGACTTGAATTCCTGGCTAGAGCTTTGATCTGCCTCATCACCGCAAACTTCTCTGGCAATCTGGACTCCAGATTTCTCTGGCAACCTGGTTACCATCAGCAGTACTGCTTTGCTCTCCTGGGTCAGGTACTGTGCAAAGGGGCCCTTTTCTGGCCAAGTCACTGCCTCTGCTTGCCTTGTCACTGTGCTCAGCTCCTGCATCCCCTCCAGGAACAGCCTTCCCCGCTGCTGCTGGACACTAGGTACCGGGTGTAACAAAATGGTCTGATGCTCAAGCATGGTGTGTGGGCAAGTAGTGATCACTGCTACCTCCTCAGGTGCACCAGCAAACACTCATCCAGGCATCTTACAACGGGCAGGCCCCCCCCCCCCCCCCCGAAATGTTAAGTACGAGCCATCAGAAGGAGCAGGACATATGTCTTCATATATTTACAAGTTGGACTGACTAGATCAAACTGTGATCTCCTGAAAAATACTTTATAGGATTTTATCTTTCACGTAGTTTCTCCTTGGAACAGTAACGATGAGGAACAAGCTTCACAAAAATAAACCTACTGGCGTTTAAGGGCCAGACACACTGACACAGTATTTCCTTGAGATTGGAAAACAAAAGCGAGCTGTAGCAGAACCAAACAATCAAGCCGTTAGATGAGGAGATGAGAACATGAGAACAAATACAGAAAACACGGAGAATGAATGTCACAGGAATGAAAGATAAAGCTGCTTCCAGACAGACAGTTCTTAAAGTTCAATGCTTTATCTTGTTTTGTATTTAGAACAAATCCCACATAACACAAGAATAGGAAACAGACGGGAGAGAAGAAACAGAAAAATGTCCAGGTCTGCTAAATCAGAACTGAGGCTGGAATATGGCTGCAGACTGTGAGAGAAGCAACATACCTTGTTTTGGGGTTGGGCTGAGGCGAAGGAGATTTGCTTCCAGCTGCGAAATGCACCACTCCAGCTCATCTTGGAACGTGCTTTGGGGAGCCTTGGACATGGGATGGGGGAAGGCACAATGTTTAAAAGAAGCACAAATCTCTCACCTGCAAAATTGATTCCAAAACTGAGTTTTCTGAAGTCTTCTCCCCTCTTATGTGGGAGATCAGACTAGCAGGTCATAAACCTCTTTTCTGGCTTTACACGTGAGGTGTGTGGTGTAACAGCTCAATTTATACCATAAACCAACACAGCACAGGGTGAGACACAAGCCCTGCAATACTCCCTATTTGGAGGGCACCAAGTGAGCCCTCTTCATTACAAAAATTAGAGACAATAAACTCTTACTAGCTGTAAGCCACCCACTCCTGGCAAGCCAAGACTTCCCGCAGAGTGTTTTCTTCCTTTTCTCTTCCTTCCTTTTTAAAGGCCCCAAATGGAAGATTTCTCATTTTTCCTGAAGCTTATTCTATAGCATAATACGTCTCCACAGCAGGAAATTTCTCTCCAGCACAGCTCTGGCAACACACAATTTATCTTAAAACACAAGTCCTTTGCTGTATTTTTACCCTGCATGCCTCCCGCTAAGCAGCTGCAAAGTAAGGCTCAGAAGCCTGCCCGTGGACAAGAAAGTCGTTACAACGCGTTAGGAAACGAACAAAGTCTTGCCTTAGCGGAGTAACGAGGTGACCAGGAGTTGGGAAAGGCAGGCACAAGGGCCAGGGAAGCCCTTTAAAGAAAACCTCCCGGGAGCCGGAGGAGAGCCTGGGCCTGGGCAAAGGTGCCTCGGCAAAGGGCCGGTGGAGAAGAGGGTGCCTCGGGACAGGAGCGAGGGGCCGAGCAAAGCTCTTACCCGCTCCATGCTGGGCAGCCTCCGCGCCGCCACGGGGAGGAAACCGGGCCCCTCCGCCGCCGCCCACCTCCGCTCACGGAACAGCGCGTGAGCTCCCGGGCTCCAGCTCC